TTTTTGCCGGCTCGCTTCGCCTTTTCAAGCCAGGTTTGGTTTAGCAGTGCTTTCTTATTGGTGTCCTCCGTAACGAGTCCCTGTGCATTTGTTGCCGTGTATTTCGTTGGATCCGGCATCGGCGGGATGAAATCATCCTCAGATAGGCCCTTGAGGGACAGGAGTGTTGCTTTTACGTGGGAATTCTTCTTTCCAGCCATCACCTTGATTCCTTCAAACAGCTTGTCGTATTGCTGTGAGCTTGACCCGGTGATGATGAGGCCTTTCAATTCATCTTGGCTGAGGCCAGTGAATTTCTTATCATTTTGTGACTGGTTTTGGTCCCCTCCATTTGCAGTTTTCCAACGGTTACGGTTCCTGTTGCGCCCCCTGGAGTTCCCTCCGTTGTTGGCGGCATTGCTATTCCCCCCGTTGGATTGCTCCTTAAATGAGCTCGACCTGGTGGTATCCATGTTGACTTTGATTGCTAGAATTGGAGGACGTGGTCGACTCGACAATATACGTTAGCTTTTGGAGGGCCTATGTGGACTGCTCGACAAAAGACTGTTAGAAAAGAAACTACTGTGGTGGTTTCGAGCCTGGCAATTTCACTGGCAGGCCTTACCGGTTCTTTGTTTTCAATTATGTTGAAACAATAGCTAGGCTATGAAACCTTAAAGGATGAATGAATGTCCTATTGGTTAGATAATTGAAAACAAAGAATGAGCACACTGAGTTGGCGAGACTTTATTTGCTCAACTCAGCTGTTGCCCATCTGCTGCATGAACTCCTTGAAATATTGGAGGATTGGATCATACTGGCATGCGCGACCATCATGTGATTGGCGAATTGTAAATATCAGTGGTATGTTGTGGTCGCGCTATCCGCGGATTCCAGATCAGTCCGTGTGGAGGTGCAGCATATGTATATTACGTATATGGTCATAAGTAAAGTTCCCAGGATTGGATGGCGATTGGATGTGCCGCACCGATATGGGTGCCATTGTGGTGCTCCAGCACGCCCTATTTCAACACAAAGAAACTCAGACGCTCTGATGTGTCGTACGTGAGCGAGTCGGGAAACATTAGTACGGTACTGTTGTGTACGTAATTCTGTTTGTCTTCGCTGTTGAGGGTGTTTTTGAAAATCATGTTTACAATAGTGAATGATACTACATTGTTTTTGGCATTAATCTTTCCTCTTCCATTTGTTTTTAAGACTAGAAGATGATTTTGATTCATCGTATTGCTTTGGAAATAATATTTTTTCGGAAAGAACCAAAAATACGAAGTAAAAAAAATACTTAGGTGACAGCTCTTTTATGTTTACTATGAGCTCGTCATAGAACGGTACCATGGTAGAAGCTAAAGATATTACCAGGAGCAACTCATCGTAGAAATTTAAACATACAGTATGTGTCTTTTACAGAAAGGCGCTGTATTGGTGATGAGGTTTGAACGGTTGATGCTTGGCAGTATCGCCCATTTGTTCATTACTAGTACCTACCTGATATGCGTTGAGCTTCTATACAATTGTGCCTTGTAATCCTCGTGGCAATCTTATTCGTCAGAATATTAGTCAGCAATGTCGTTGTTACAATCATCATCGAATTGATCACCCATTATTGGATTTTATTTCTTAGCAATGTGTTTCTACTCCCAAGCATGAAAACTGTCTTTGAACCTTTGATCATCTCGTTGATTATTGTAGTTTTCCTGCTTCTTAAATCAAGTTGGTTAATATTGTTTTCGGACGGAGAGTAAACTAATTCCAATGGTAGGTAAGAGATATTCTCGCCGCAGACGGGAAACAATTGGTCTACTCGAGGGACGGAGCATCCAAGGCTCTGTCTTCAATCTAATATTTCCATTATTCAAGTTGTGCAGCTGAAAGCTTTCAAAGTCTCACCGCCAGAATCTATTCAGCTCTTTTGGAACTTTTAGTTGCTATCAACAGAAATCCATTTGAAAAACAACGAGAAGGATCCCATATCGACTTCAACCTTCGAATGTAGCCGTAACAATGACTAATACGATAGACCGTTCTCAGTTTGATACAAGTTGTCCATCCAATTGAGTTGTTCTCTCGAATATTTCGAAAAGTGGTCTTGGTTTTCAACGTTTGACAATAGTTATTCGGATTTCGAGAAGAAATCTGAACGCCTGAATGGATATGAACGTTTTTAGAAGTATTATTTTATGAGGTATCCCCATACTCTATTTGCGCGACGACTCGCAAAGGAACTGAGAAGTTGAATAGATTTGTTCGCTATTTTCCCTCAGTTGGCCATACGATAAGAAACAAAACTAAAAAAAAGAACACACACGTCACTGTGTTCCACACTCCACAAAATTATTTCCGTAATACCGGTACGAGCACGTACACAAATCTGCGATGTTCTTCCATGTATGTACCCTACCGTTCGTACTGTAGAATTCGTACTGTGCGAACTTTAGAGACCAAAAACGTGATTCATAAAAAATAAAAATAATGTGTGTCTGTTGTCGGTGTCAGGTACGGTACGTACGTGCGGTACTGTAGTCCATCATACGCACGTTCACTCATTTAGTTACCTAGTATTGTACCTGGTACTGTAACGTAACTCAGTTGAATGCTTCGATTCTATTTTCAACGTTTTTTTTTCCTGCGACCATTCATTTCTTCACTATCGTTTGGACTTGCTTCGACAAATTCAGACACCAACCAAACAAGACGTTCCAGCTCACACGCATCACATCATCGAAAGGAACAACAAAAACGAAAAACGATTGGATTTACCTGACAGCTACCTTTCTTAGTCGGCACAGAGGACTCCATCATCAATCTTTTCATTTCACACAGTGGTTTACTTGTATTGACACACCTTACGCAACAAGTTCGATAAGGAAAGAAAGTTATACTTGCAATAGGCATCAAATAAATTTGGTTCTGTCGTTCGTACTGCAATAGTTGCGATAAGTACTCGAAAGTGAAAAGAAAGTTACAGCTGGGAGCTCTGTTCTCGCAACAATTTTATATCAACCTTGGAAAAAATTAAGATGTATGGCAAAGGAAGTGACAACATAGTTGGTTTGGCAATGTTTATGTTACTCTCCAACAATCTGTCACGAAAGGCGGGGCCAATTTGTGCCCGGGCCTTCTCGACAACAACTGCTGCCTTCACACACAGGAGCAGAAGCACTCGCAGCAAAAACAGTCACAACGAAATGGCTTCCTTCATCTTTCAGGATTCCCGAAACAAGTGCTACTCGACAACATCAAGTTTGTACTCTGGTGTGGTAGATCAAGATTTGGATGCTGCTCTTGATGATTTGTTGGAAGGTACTTTCGATATGACGGAAGATATTGATGGCGACCAAATTGCGGCCGACTTGGTCTCCAGTGTAGACCTCGAAGATGTGAGTCGTTTGTAATCATTTTCACGTGCGGTCAAAATGAAGACAATTTCTCTTCAAGTTGTGACGTCGTGTAGATTCCGTAATCAACAGAATGTTTTGCACCGGTCGACGCATTGACTTTCTACGAAACACCAACTCTTTTCAAATCTCTCAACAATCTTATTTTTCGATCTACTTTTGTTTTCTTGGTTGTTGATTAACGATATAGGAGGGACCAATCGACTACACTGACCCCAAATTCTTGTCGACGAGCAATCCTCGTTGGACCAAGGCAGGCTTGGATCAACGAGTGATTGATGTCTTGAGTGGAAAAGGTATTGTTCGATTCACTCCTGTCCAGGGTGAGGCTTTCGATCCCGTTGTAGCGGGACGTGATGTGATCGGGCGTTCTCGAACCGGTACGGGTAAGACTTTGGCCTTTGGACTTCCCTCTATCACTCGTCTCGTAAAGTGGATGGAAGAAAAGGGCATCCGTGATCCTGCAACAGGACGCATGCAAAGGGGCCGCGGAGTTTCGATGTTGGTATTGTGCCCTACGAGAGAACTTGCCAGACAGGTTCAAGAAGAGTTGAGTGCCGTATCAAAGCCATTGGGTTTGTTTACTGACGTTTTCCACGGAGGTGTCTCATACGACCCACAAAGCAGAGCACTACGCAATGGATTAGATATTTTGGTAGGAACTCCCGGGCGTATTATTGATCACTTGGATCGCGGAACTCTACGATTGAATGAGTGCGACTTGGTCGTTTTGGACGAAGCCGATGAAATGTTGTCCATGGGATTTGCGGAAGACGTCGAAACCATTTTGGATGGTTTGGGCGAAGACAATGGAAAGAAACCCCAATGCCTTCTATTCTCGGCAACTACACCGCCATGGGTGAAACAAATTGGTCGTCAGTACCAGGAAGATGTCAAATCTATTGACGCTACAGGTGATGCCGGTGGTTTGCGAGTAGCCAGTACAGTCAGGCACACAGCAATCCAGTGTCCTTGGGGTGTTGAATCCAAGAAAGCGATTCTGGAGGATATCATTGCCATTGAAATTTCAAAAGACATTAAAGACGTCGCGGAAGTTTTCGAGGACAGCGATAGTGACGACGATGAGCCAATAAACGAAATTGCAGCTGCTGCAATCGCGAAGAAAAATGCTGAGAACAGCGCGGTGCAGCAGAAGATCTTTGGGAAGACCATTGTGTTCACTGAAACTAAACGTGCAGCAGATGAACTGGTTTCCGGTGGAATCTTCAAGAGCTTGACAGCACAAGCTTTGCATGGGGATGTTGGTCAGAAACAACGTGATGCTACCCTCGCTGCATTCCGTGCAGGAGCTTTCAATGTTTTGGTTGCCACTGATGTTGCGGCACGAGGTATCGACATCAAAAACGTTGATCTTGTCATCCAGTTTGATCCACCTCGTGATGTTGACACCTACGTGCATCGATCCGGTCGTACTGGTCGTGCCCAGACAAACGGAGTTTCCGTGCTGATGTTTTCACCTAATCAGCAGTCAGATATTGTGCGAATCGAGCGTGATCTTGGCCACGGCTTTCAATTTGAGTTGTCGGGACCACCTTCGACTACATCGGTATTGAAAGCGGCCGCCAAGACATCTGCTGTTGCCTCGATGGAGATTCCAGATGAAACCGCTGAGTATTTCAAGGACTCTGCTGCAGCTCTTTTAAAACATGGTGATCCTGAGGAGGTTGTTGCGCGTTGTTTAGCCGCAATTTCCAAACGAACCAGTAAGGCGGAAAGCCGCTCGCTACTTACAGGCGAATCTGGGCTCGTGACTCTCGAAATGAGTAATAATCGCGGAAGACCAGTTTCCGCTGGTGACGTGATGTTCACTGTCGGAAAGTTAGCTCGTATGAGTCAACGAGAAGGAGACGATGTCAGCTTTGAAAGTGATGTTGGAAAGATTCAACCCAATCACGAGCAAGGAATTTGTATTTTTGATATGGATATCGAAGAAGGAAAAAAATTGGTCGAATTCGCCAAGGGAGTAGAAGCGGGAGGAGCCGACATCAGAATCTTGGAAGAGCTTGAAGTCAATCGTGGTCGCAACTTTGGTCAACGATTAGGTCGTGGTGGCCGCGGCGGCAGAGGCGGCAGAGGTGGTAGAGGATACCGAGGCAATAATGGTCGAGGAGGTAGAGGTGGTAGAGGAGGATATGATCGTGGGGGTCGTGGTAACCGAAGCGGCTATGGCGGTGGTGGTGGCCGCGGGTACAGACGCGAACAGCGTTATTCCAGTCACGATCAAAGGTAAGAACGAACACCGTGAACATTTAATATTTAGTTGGTCATGTTCCAGTATTTTAGTTGTCTGACAATACCGAGCATCCTTTTCAACGTAGAGGATCAAATCGTTATGACAGAAGAGGTAGAGGAGACCGTGGTGGATACAACCGTGGTGGGGGCGGTGGATATGATAACGATGGATGGTAAATCCTTCCAACGTGACATCAAAGAATACGGTAAATCAACGTGATTTTGAGTGTTCAAGGCTTCCATTTTGGGATACTTTTTAGAAATGTTCTGTCCTACTCGCAACTTGATTCATCCCAAACGAATACGACAAAGATTCGTGTCACGAAAGCCTGAATTCAATGAATTTTGTCAACAGATCATTTGAGGAGTCTGAAATCACCATATCACCAAAATGATCGTCACTGGAATTAAGAATGACGATAACTACCGTACTTCTGACGAGACACGCCATTACTTCGAATTGATACCGACAAAGTAAAGCATTTTTTGCTTTTATTTGGTATTAGTCGTTTATGGATTCTTTCGTTACAATAATAGTAAATATCTTCATCGCAAATTGTTGAAGTCCATTTCACTTTCAATTGGCAGCACTTAGTGTTACAGCGATATAGCGCCCTTATTGCTTCGAAAAAGAAAGTTCATCAACTTAATCAGGATAGCTTGGGTGTCAGAAGGTTCCTGGAACAGAGCATGCAGAAGAAAACGTGTCTTCATCTCGTGTCACTATTGTCAAAATCAAATGTCAGCAAGTTTTGACTGTTGTTCTCCCCTCACATCTCTAGTATAGTGTCCAAATCATTGAAGATATCGGAAAGCAACAAAGAGAGCGAGGCCGTGTTTTCCTGATCAGGATCCACAATGCCAACTATGTTCTTTGTTTTACGCTCCAGCTCTTGCAGGTGTTTCGTTTTTTTCACGGTGGTATTCGTGTGTTTCTTCTTAGACTGCTGCCAAACTAACTGCTGCTGCAATATTAATACAAGTTGTTCCCAGAGACAATCCACGCCTAGATTGCGTGAGAGAGGACATGTGAGCGAAGAAGAGGATAACGTTTGGACCGAAGGCCCACATTCACGTATGTGCAACGCTATGAGAAGGATCGATGTGTCCCAAGCGCTCTGGGCCAATCGAGTGCGCCGATTTCCGGCCGATCGGACTAACTGCACAACAAGCGGCACCAATCTAGGAATTGCGTTCATCGTCGTCGGTTTTCGCGTCAGCGCCGACGAAGATTCATTGCCTCCCTCGACGACCCGGTAGAGCTGGGAAAAATGTTCTCTGACGACCAACACCCCTTCGAATGCCATCCTTCGTTCCTCTTCTGTTTCGTAACACTGTAGGATGGATTCGAGTGGGGTTTTGTCATCTTGGTTGGCTCCATTCTGCTGCTGGTAAATGACATCGCAATAATCTGCATCGAGAAGCTCCGAAAACCATTTCTCGAGCACGGAAGTTGATCCCTTGCTCCCGACGTCGATTGTTTTCTTCTGTTCATGCTGCTGCCGCCGTTGCTGTCGGTGTTGTTTTCGTTGAAGGAGATAGATCCAGGCACACCGACGATGTTCCAATGTCCAGGATCGCATGCCCAGCATTTGCAACTGCTCATCGCCGTTGTCATTTCTCCCGCTACCGTCCTCACGTTTTCGAAAGTGTTGTCGCCTTAAAAACAGGCGTTCCAAATCTTGCTGGAACTTCAAGATTCCACCCTCGGCATGGATTGGAGCCTTTGTGGCAACGCTAGGATCCTCGTTTTCTTCATCATTGGTTGACCCGGTAAAAGTCTGACAAAAATTTCCTACGAAACCGTTATTGTCGATTTCGTTTTTCGATGCCGATGAAACCCGAACATGATCTTTCTTTGCAGCATGCAGTATTCCTCCCTCCCTGACCTCTTCGTGACCGGTTTTCCGGGTCGTAGAGACCTCCTTGAGAAACAAGGAGGAAGAAGACGATGGTGTTTCTTTGTCGTCTTGCGTTCTGCCTGGTACAGATATGAGAGGCAACACTAAGCTTTCCGTCACCAGCGCTGGCGCGGAAAGTTCGGATCTTTGCTCTTCCCGAGGGGCTGAAGTTAAGGTTCCAGTAACATTTTGGTTGCAAGTGTCTGTTGTTTCTTCTGAAAGAATACTAATCAAAGGTTTCTTGCTCTCCGCTGTGACAAGTTTCGCCTTTTGGGAAGCGATTGTAGTCTGTGGTATGGACGCCATTGCTTGAGTCCCGATTATATTACAACTTTTCCCCCTATTATCTCTTTCATGTTGGTTGTTATCAATCGATAACAATAATTCGCAAGATCGGGTTGTCCGTTTGTTCTTTACATTACTTTCTTTTTTATTGCAAGGTATAGATGCACTTATTGGAGTCTGAGCGGAAGGCACAGATAGAGGCACTGCTTCTTCATCAGTCATGGTAGATCGCTTCCCTCTCTTCGTTCCCTGCATCGTATCATAATTTGCATTCTTCTGGGTGATGGTATTATTGCTCTTTTTCTTCGTATTATTATTATTTGTCAAAAAACCTTTTGCCCATCCGGAGTCCTTCTTTTTTTTCGGTGCAATACTAGTGGGAGCAATACTATCTTTTGGCTTTCTAGTGGTAGTCTGTTTTTTCTTTTTTGCTTTATATACATCGATCTTACCGCTGGTGCTGGTGTTCTTGGTCAAAAATCCCTTGGTCCAACCCGACGAATCCTTCTTGTTCGTCTCTGATGCTTTCTTGATTCCAGGACGCGTTGCTGATGGGTCTTTGCAGCTGTTGCTTTTGCTGTCAGTGAGCGCTGCGGTTTTCTCCAGGAATTCCGGTGTTGGAGTCTCTGGATTGCGGGTGGGGTCCACCTCGGTGGTCGGAAACTCTTCCAAAAACAAGGCAGAGGGTTTTGGTTTTGTTCCGGTCTTGGTCGCTGGGACTTCAGGTGCCGGCACATCGATCGGCGTTTGTTCCCGCCGTTTTCGCCGTGCGTCCTTGGCCGGATCATTTCCACTCAACAAAAATCCACGCTGGAAGCCATTGCTCGAACGAGATGCTGCCGGCAACGAATGTTTCGTGGGAATACAACGGTCTTTTCTGCTGGTACTCGCAGCAGCATTCCCGAGGACCACATCGGAATCAGCGGAGAACAGATCGCTCTGCTTATTCATTGATGCAGTGATTAGAACGAATCTAAGGACACCACACCATGTAAGACGAGGTCTTGGAACATTGATTGATGGTGACCATCGCCGTTAATAGTTCATACGACTAAGAATATGGTATAACAATGGTACCGTACCATACTCTTCACATCTTGGTTGATTAATTTTTGGATTTTGTTTTGAGAGGTTTCTCATGGAGGAACGTTATGGAGACTGAACTAGCTTCTTCTAGGGATTCTTCTAGGGATTTTTTCTTAGTTCTAATGAAAGGTTGATTCTACCGTACGTGGAGTGCGTTCAACCATAGTCCGACATCAAGTTTTCTGAACGTTCGGTAGGATAAGTCATTACTATCGAGAAAAGTATCGAGTATCAGTTTGTTGAACATCTCTATATTGTTGAACATATCTATACATACCCAATTTGTTGTTTGAGATTACTAGTGAACTGATTTGCAGGCTTGTTAGGTTGGAGGTAGAGGATATGAGAGTAAGAATGTAGAAGTCCCTACCTGTAACACTACTAGTACTAGTAAAGCGATGTTCTATTCGAGTTTAAAATACCCATTACCAAAAAAAACGAAAAGTTTTTTGTTATCCCTTGTTACGAACGATCTCGAGCATCAGGTCAACCTCTTGTTTCAATCGGAGCAAAATTTCACGGAGTGTCTCCAGACCACGCGAGCCGACCTTCGATCCATTGAGGGAGACTATGATATCGTTGGCTTGGAGCGAGAACGCGTCGTCGTTCCTCGGTAGATCGTTTCCACTGGAGGCGACCATGACCACAAAACCATCGTTCGTTTTCAATACCTTGAGCGAAACGTTCCAAAATTCTTCGCGAGAGGACCGCTCGAGGCGGATCGGTTGTGTCGATCCAGAAACATTTTGAGACAAAGGAAGGTCCACTACCTCCAGCCCTTCGCCATTGTCTTCTGGCTCCAGCACAAAACTGTCGTCGTCGTCATCAGCATAGGAACTCTCGTCATCCGAGATGTCAACCGTCGTTGCAGCGGTCTTGTGAGTGCTGTTTCCAATCTTTGGTGGGGAACTTTGGCTTTGTGGAGAGTGGACAGCTCCACTCATATCTAGGTTGCCCGGAACGCTTGTTTTCAAATGGGTTAGACTTTTGGATGTTCCTCCAAACGTAGAAAAAAGATTGTGGTGAAACGCCAAACCTCCTCCGGCGTTGCCGCTATTTCCCTTTGTTGCTGCTTCCTCCTCTCCTCCGGTTTCGCCATGCATTGTGGCGGCAAGAGTACGAGGAAGACTCGTTTCTGCTCCATTCGCGTGCTTCGTATTCGTAATGTTTCGGTGAGCCTTGCAATAAAATTTTTTCCTCCCCTTTCGTTCAAAATCCCAACCGGCGTCTCCGATAGCGCAATGATAATGGAAGATCTGGTCGCAATTGTCGGCGGAACAGCGGATGGATGCACCCGTATTACTGCAGCTGCTACAAATCTTGGAATGGTCGAGAACTTCAAAGACGTTCCTATATTCGTGGTTCATTCGGGCGTTTTGTGACTCGGAGGTGTCGACTATGTTTGTGTGCTTCACGCAATTCAAATGAACGCAGCACATCCGTACCTGTCGTTTTTGCTGCATTCCCCCTTGTTGCTGGAAGGCAAGAAGTTCACCGAGCATATCGTTTTCCGGCATTCTGCACAACTGACAAGCCAAAGAAATTAGGTCGATGTTGGTTTTCATGGAATAAAATTTCGTGGAAATTCGATCGCATCGTTTCACAGTCGAGACTCGGCATGAGTCACAGAAAAATGCTTTCCCATCTTGTTCAAACCTCCAACCGGTATCTATCAAAATCAGTGTTGATAGCGCGAAACAGAACGAAACAGACAAAAGGAATTAGAAAGACAAGCGTTCGGTGGGCCGAAGTGAGGCACAAATAGTTCAACTGACTTACCCTCGGCACAAGAGAAATGGAACATGCGAAAGCAGTTGGCAGAAGAACAGCCGATAGTTGCACCATTCTGTGCGCAATGACAACACGTGAACGTTTTCCCGCGATTGACTGCTCGGATAACATTCTTCCATTTTGAATTCAGAACCTCCACTTCGGGACAAAACTCGGCGCAGTTGTTGTGCACAAGGACTTGGCGATTGCCACGCTTGAATGCAAGAAGAGGTCCTTCCCGTGTTCGCCATCCAAACTTGTGGCAAAGATTGCATTGCAGAGGAATTGTGGGGTTCATGTGTCGAAATATCGAAATCGGTATTACCTTGTCTATATCCTTGTCGCCTTTGCTCTTGGACTGGATATTTGACACAACTTCTTGGGCAGCACGGATGCCAGAAAGCATCGCACCGTGAGTCACACTCGGATGAAGAGCAGTGGTATGTTCGCCTGCGAAGAACAATCTCATTACTTCCATATTACCCTCGAGTAAGAACGAGTCACCGTTGCCATTGACCGGCGACTGAAGTAGCTGGAAGTCTTGATCCGTGCTACCCGGCGGAAGGTATGTATAGGACCCTCGAGAAAAACGATCTTTGCCCCACCTCGTAATACGAAATCCTATTGGATCGGGAATAGAAATCTGTTCTTCAAACATGACTCGTAATGTTTCGACAACCTCTTTAATCACATCATCGTCCGATAAGCATTCCAATGCAACAGCTTCCTTCCCCGAAACTAGCGACATTAGAATAGCCGGAGAATCATCTTGAGAACCAAGCCGTTTTCCCACATCAAAAAACATGTAGTGGTGGGGATTGACCCCTGTAACATTCCCGAACAAACAGTCGTCTTCTTCCTTAAAAAAGCCTGGAATACGCCAAAACGGCGTGGGGAACTGAACGTAGACTTTGTTCAAAAGACCAAAACCTACGTTCCGTATCGCGTCGATTTTTGAGAACGGGAGAGAAGGAATAAAAGTCATTTTCTTACCAAAATAAACGTCGCTCTCACGTTCCACGCTTTCCTTAAGAACTCCTAGTGGGACAGCCGCAACCAAGAAATCAAAATACTTCGTTTGTGATCCATCTTCCGACGTGATACTGCAGGAGTCAGAGAGCTCTGTCAAGTGCCTGTCGCGACCAAACTGATCACGGCTATATTTTTGTGTCGCAGACTTTCTTCCATATTCCACTTTGCCAACTGGGAAATTCAAGAAATATTCAAACTTATCGGGACCTACAGTCGTCAAGGATTGAAGCATTCGATCGATCACAGTAGAATATCCTTCCTTGAGGAGCACATGGTCTCCTTCAAACGCATGCCGATCGTCTACATCCCAATACTTCATCGAAAGGCTATCTAGATTTGAGCCAAGTGCGTATTCGACGTTTTTGCTGTTCCAGAGGAGCATCCGATGCTCCTCGGCGGATAATTTGGAAAATTCTCTTAGTTTGTGTCTAGCAATGACTCTGCCAATCTCGCAGTCGACCGATCGGTCGTCAGATCGTCTGTGCCCAGGTGTTTTCGAGGCCGTCGTAGTGAGCCGAATACCAGATGGTCTGCTCTTGTTTGCATCGTTTTGTGAAAAGCAAGATGCGTACCATCTGACCGCAGATTGCGGATCTTGTCCGTCTTTCTTATGCAAAGCGACCGACTGCTCGTTCATTGCCGAGGTCCAGATGTCTTCGGTAGCATGATCCAATAGGTCATCAAACAGCTTTCCTGTCTTTTCGTCCATCTTGCTGTCTATTTCTTTTAACCCTCGGCCAACCATCTTTACCTCTTCGGAAGCTCTGACGAATTCGATTCCGGCGTTTTGGGCGAGAGTCGCCAGTGGATTGTCGTCGATTCCGTGTATCCACGAGGCACCCAACTCGACGGGGAAGACTTTGTCTTTTTCGGTTTTCCATGATCGATCGGTCGCAATGCGACCTCCCAACCTTGATCTTGCTTCTACCAGAGTAACTTTGGCATGGATTCCGTCGTTTTTCAGTGCCGTTATGAGTTCTTGGCAACACGCCAGCCCGGCTATCCCCCCACCGATCACCCCGATTTGGTACTGCTTTTGGACCCGGGTTTGCATCGGTAGCTTCGTGCCTCCTCCCATGGTAGCTACGTCATTGGCGTTGCTTGTGCTGCTGCCCGTGATTATCTTCGATGCGTTGCCGGTGGTATCCCATTCAATTTTTCCATTGCTACCCTGCTTCATGTTGAGCAGATTCAGAACCTTGCTCTGGGAGTATAGATTTGATAAAGGATACCACGGAGGCAGTGCCGTGCCTTGCAGAAACGAATGGAATCCCATCGAGGTTCGAATCACGGCCAATTTCGATGCTGCATCGCTGTCCATTCTCAGCGAAGGAGGCAACATTTCGTACTGATAGTAATAAGAATCGCTGGCATTGCTACTTCCCGCAAGGAAGTTGCCTCCTTTCTCACACGCCTCGTGAATCAATCGTGCTTTGGTATGGTCTCCGCACGCTGCTTCGTATATACTGCTAAATGTAGCTACCAGTATTCGATAGCTATTGCCGCTGTTGCTGTTTCGTTTGTTGTCTTCGTCCCCCTGTCCCCGCCGTTCTATCTTGTGGCTTTTTCCTTCTTTTTCCTCAACGTATTTGAATTTCTGAATGGGTCGTTCCTCAGTTAGAAAGGATTCTAGTGGACCGGCTTTCGCAATCCCGGTTCGATTCCCCTGGGATTCGGTACTGATATTATTTTTTTCGTCGTTGCCGCTAGTATCCTCTTTCGACGAAAGGCGCGCTTTCTTTGCCGGTGGAACCAAAAGAGAATTCTGATCGCTAGATTCCGTCGCGTCTGTTGTCCCATTATAATAGGTGATGCCATTGCTGTAAGCAAATTCCTCTAGATTTCGTTTTGTGGAAAGACCATCGCCCTTTTGTTCGGTCGCGGCAACAGCTGTAGCAGCATCATCAGAACCCTTTTTTGTTGTTAACTCGCTTTCTCGTTTCATGTTCAGGACGTTCATCCGCTCGTTCAAGCGCAAGGAATCACTCTGATCCTGAAAGAACAAAGAGGACGCCTCCTTCAGCGAGGACTGATCGATCAACACCCCGTAAAATCGTTTGTTGTTGCCTGTCGTAGCGCTGACGTATATTCCATCTCCCACTTTTTGTTCGGTCGACGACGGGTCGAAGAGCGGGAAGAGTTCCTCCACAACAACGCCATCGATTTGCTGGTGTTTTCTCAGTCCAGTTGCGGTCCGTCTCCGCCCCCTCTTGCTCTTTCTATTGTTCTGAAATGAATCCAAGAATTTGTGGCAAATTGTGAACAACAGGACGGAGGCATGGAAAACGGTATGTGTTTGTTGTCGTTTGTTCCGGCAGCAACATAAATAAATAAATCCGAAACGTATTGGAATGGAAAATTTTCGAAAGAAAATAAAACCAAAAATGTGAATGTGAGATGGGATGGGATGGGATGGGATGAACATACCGATCGTCGAGGCATTGAAACAGACGAAGAATAATTCAGTGTCGAAGCGATTCCATCGTAACCAGTTTCTAGTTTTGTCGTTGAGAGAACGTACCTCTCCATCCATTGCTATGACTATCCCTGCTTTTCAAGAATATATTACGGTCGAGTAGACTTCGTTCAGTTTGTAGTTGAATAATCCTGCCTTCATCCGTTCTACTGTGAACTGGTTCTCTACGATCGATCCTATTCTGTTTTGTCCATCGTCAACAAACGTTGTTGTGCAGATCTTCATTATTGGCAGACCAATACCGGTAACTCGTACATAAATTTTTAAGGTTAGCAAGTTTCGTTGAATCCCGTTTGAACTAGTCACGGTTCTTGTTGGATTGGATTCCAAGATCAATTTATCCCTCAATCACGCGAATTTGAAAAAGCGTAGTGATTGAAGAATCTGGACGCGGCAACTGTTAGTGCGATCTTCTCAGCGATCAGAACAACTTCGTTGATTTGTTCTGGATTTCAATTTCTGCTTTGAATGACGACGGCATCGGCCGCTTCGTTTCAGTCATAAAATAATCTGGGTTAACAAGAATAACAACATCACCGATTATCGAGAATGAAATCAAGTAGAACAACCGTTGCTATTCTGTTCGCATTATTTTTCAACCTTATGTCAGTGGCAACTGGAAATAGCCAAACGGCGGTTTGTCCGGGCGGAGGCTGCACCGACGACAGCTCCAAGCCAACGGTGACGGAGCTCGTTGCCAAGCCTTCCGAGAAACTCGTGGAGATTTTGGGTGGCATCTATGAGCATTCTCCCTGGGTTGCTGAAGAGCTCGTGAAAGAAGACGCGGTAACCCTGAAAGAGATCTCAACCGTGACCGAACTCGCCTCCCGGCTCAAGTCGATCGTCAACGAAGCCTCGGACGATCAAAAATTAGCATTGTTGCGGGCGCATCCCGATCTCTGTGAAAAGGTCGAAGCCATGAAATCTCTAACGAAAGAGTCGCAAGAAGAGCAGTCGCGGTCTGGTCTGCAATCGATGGAAGGGAAAGAGCTCGAAAGATTTAGGAGCATGAACGAAGCCTACAAGAAGAAATTTGGCTTTCCATTCATTCTGGCGGTTCGAAATGCGAGCAAGAGTACGGTGTTGAGCGCACTCGAGGGACGCCTAGAAGGGAGCTCGTCGCAGCGAGAATTCAATGTAGCACTGGAACAGGTTCACAACATTGCCTGGATGCGCCTGTTGACAAAGGTTAACAGCGACAAAGCAGCAGGATTTTTGACTTGTCACGGTAAGTTTTTCTACTTTTTTTAAAAAAATTGTCGAAGCGGATGAATGCCAGTCCAGTCTAACGATTTGTTTCGTTTAACAATGCTACAATAGTGTTGGACACTGCCAACGGCATCCCGGCACGAAAAATGAAAATCGTCCTGAAGCGCTTGGCGCCCGAGGAATCCGCGGGGGTCATTGGTGAATTCGTCACAAACGATGATGGTCGCTTGGAGGGAGGTCCAGCGCTGAAAGGCAATGATTTCTTGGTAGGAACCTACGAATGGGAATTTCATGCCGGGGACTACTTTGCCTCGAATGGGAATGCCATGAACGGGACTCCCTTCTTGGACGTCATACCGCTCCGGTTTGGAATCGACAATCCAGACGATCACTATCATGTGCCCTTGTTGGTCAGTCCCTGGGGATATTCCACCTATCGGGGGAGTTAAAAAAATTTAAAAGAAGTGCTAGGGATCCAAGGCTTCGCACGTTGGGGGCAACCATAGAACCTTGTGAACAGACCAGTCTGGAGTCCCTTAAACTCCGTCGAAAGGCACACAGATTTGTTGATACCATTCCATTCGAAGTTTCAGTCCAGTTGCAGGATTTTAAAAATTAGAATTTCATGTAAACAAAATACTGTGTATTACGTTTCGACAACGATGTTCTAGCTGTTTTCTTTCTATTAGATTAAGATTGGACAAAATGTTGGATTCAAATTTCTTTTTGCAAAAGATCCTTGAATCATCTAGTTAGCAGTCCACTTCCACTCTCAAGAAAGTGAATGGATTGTCAACTTGTAAAATACTGCCAGTAGAGCACATTGCAAAAGCCCGCGACCGGCGTGCCCCCAGGGATATGGCAGTGCGGGGATTCTTGGTACTACCGGGTTGTGTGTGTACATGTAAATGTTAGCCGGAGTCACCGCCGCGGTCAACAGATACATGAGTGCCGCAGGAATTGTGCTGGCACCCAAACCGGCGGTTGTGACTTCGGCACCAAAGGGCAGCAAGCCCGGCTGTATTGTGGCGATCAACAACCAGGTTCCAACGAGAACCTCGGCTATTCCGGACCAAAAAGAGTGATATTGTTCATAGGTCAAACCCAATTGATCCGATCCCGGAGACGGAACCTGCCACAAACCACCCCATGATCCCTTCGGGGGTACGAATGACGTGAAGGTATCTTCGACGGCAAAGTGCGCTATTCCGGCCGCAATGAAAGCGGACGACAAAACGCATGGCAGAACATTGTAAAATGGATCGAATATCGAGGCCGGCAAGATCGTCTCGAGAAAATTGTACAAGTTCACAAAGGCGATGCTTCCAGCAAAGACCCCACCAAAGATCGCAAGAAAACTCAGCTGTTGCGTGTTGTCGTCTTTTGCCGATATCAACGTTGCGGGATCCTTCACTTCGTCGTTCGTTGCGATCGGAGATGCGAAACGAAGCGTCTTCGATGGATGAGGCGTTTGTTGTTGCGAAGGCAGCGACACGAACCCGGTTTGTACCAACGACGACGTCGAGGATGATGAGAATGCGAGCGGCGCTTTTGTTGAGTGAAATCCAAATGCGGGTGTTGTCGAAACGAGCGATACTGTGACGACTGCAAGAATTACCACAGTCTTCTCTATTCTAGTGGAAAGCGTCATGGTTGGTCAAAGTGCAAAGTGCCGTTGCGATATTGAATGCTGAATAGTTGTGTTGTTGCTTTACCCTTCTTCGTGTCACATCGTCCAGTTGGAATAAGTCGATTTTATTTTTCGTCGCATGAAAAACAAAGTTACTGTTTTTGTTTTGAGAAAAAAGTGAGTGAGTGAGTCAGGAATACAAGGTACGAGTACGTGTGTATTCAATCAAGATATTAATGGTATGTTTAGTAAGTAGTAACACAGTCATTACAGCATTTCTATTCAATTCACGATTGCGTTTTAAAAAAAGTTGAAGTACGGTTCGTACTTCGTACGTCTGCCATCCCAAATCAGTGACAAAAATCTGACAAAACGGAAAAGGGGGGAAACTGAGAGCCTAAAACGACGACCAAGAACTTAATTTTATCAGATCTTTTTACTGAACGGTACGTTTTGATGCGTTAGAGGAGGTACGGTATGTACGATTACCAGAACCGATATCACCTCTTCCAATTCGTTTCAGAATGCAGAAGTATGTACTGCGATCATGGGTCGCTCCAAGCAAGGCCGTCCCATCAAGCGACGTCGCGTAGTCTTAGAAGCAGATGATTCAGTCGTCGCAGAGGAACAAACCACGTTTGCCGAGCAGCAGCAGCAGCAGGGAGAAGAAGAACTAGCGAAAGCTATCGAACTGCTTCGAAAGACTCCTCAGGACAGAGTTGAGGCGGCGGCAGCCGAAGCTACTCGTTTGGATCTGTCGAGAAAGGACCGCTGGGTTCACTTGAAGTTACCGAAGACTTCATCGATCCCCCTAACAACTATGTCGGCAGTCGTTTTCGACGATGAAGACACCATGCCAATATCCAGAGCTATCGACGACGACGATTCTGCGACAATTCCTGTTGAGGGTACAACAATAGATAGCACCACATTCGTTTCTCATGTTCCACCTTGGTTGGGTGGCTTGGGGTTTGCTCGTCTGTCAAGGGAAGACTTCGTTGCATTCCGGAAATTGCACCAGGCCATCAAGGATCGTATTAATAACACCAACAAACATGCACAAAAGAAGAATGGGTCCACCTCAACATCCTCGAAGTTGGGATGGGCATCGTGGTCGGGATCCGTGAATGATCCACGAAAACGAGCTTTTGGATTCCTTCCGGGAACATGGGTAAGCACAGCTCATACATATGTAAAGAGCGAAACAAACTAGACCGTGCTAAACTATTAGATCATTCATGGCCTCCCTTGACCTGAATTCGAAGCTCACCCACTCCCGTGACCTGCTTCTTGAATTCCAATTTAACATTCCGAATTAACAGGGCTACGATCCAGAAACGCGTAACAATAGACTTGATATTACCATGCCAGAAACTTATGTGGCGGAGGATACAAAAACAGACGAACGTAAGCGGAATAAGCGTGAAATGGTGGTGTTGGATGAATCCGATGTGCCTGATGGCGTCCGCGAAGCGATAGATAATATATGTCGAGTCTTTCGAGAATGTCTTTTGTCAAAAAATGAACGTTGCGATGCAACACCCAATGCTCATGACAACGACAGCGGTTATCGCCATCGGTTGGCCCAATTTCTACGTTACGAAAACTTGGTTGCAGCACAGCCGAATCTACACTCGGGGAGAGCTCTGTTACCCGTACATTTAGATGATCCATTAAAGGATGGATTTGGAGTGGTCATCGTGACGATTGGGGTAGAGGGTTCCGGGACGATTCTTTTTAGGGATGCGAAGGGAGTGAAAAACGGTGTGACCATGAACCTTGACGAGGGGGAAGTATATATGTTGGCGGACAGAGCGCGTGATGCATGTGCCCATGGAGTGTTGGCAGACGCAAGGAAGGAAGATTGCACCAGCGATGGCATTCCCTTCTCTAAACGAGAATCCTTAAATTTGCGGTTTGGATTGCACGATGCGATGCTTCCACCAAGTATTGTCAATGGTACCAACGATGCAGCTTCATCATCTTTGCCTGTGATTCCCGCGTGTAATGTTTTTCGTCATTGGGATGAATAAGTACCTGCTAGAAGGGCTGAAATAAAGTAATAATAGAATCATATTATCATTCCATCTGAGTATTCACGCCCAATATATCCACTAAGATGGAAAATAAAATGAAAAAAATACATCGATTGACTATTTTTGTTTCAATGCAGCTGCTCTCGCGGCCGCTTCTCGTTTTTTGTCCTTTTTGCTTTTTCTATGCCCCTTGATACCTTCGAGAACGTAATTGTTGCATTCAAAAACACGATGGTGAGTATTCTGGCTGTCGAAACAAGCAAATGATACGTATGAAAAAAACAAGGCAAAAACTATGAAAACTGAAGAAGTACGTACCACCAAACATCTTGTCGTGCTCCAATCCTTTTGAGGAATGCTGTGTTCCTGGAATGCTTGTCCTAGCTCCTTCTGCCTCTATTTTCCAGCGCTCCTCATTCGGTTCGAATCCTGGCAATACTTCTCGTTCGGGGGGACTTGCCAAATGCCGTTTTTCGATCAAATCCATGTGAGCTGCAACGGATGGTGTCACAAAACTCACGGCTACTCCCTCTTGTCCAGCTCGTCCAGTTCTTCCGATTCTGTGTACGAAATCCGAAGTGGATCGTGGTAGATCGTAGTTGACAACGGCGGGCTGGATGCGGCAAAAGGAGAAAGATGTGTACAGTGAAACGTCAGCAAGACACAAACACGTAGCAAAGAATAGTAGAATGCCATTCTATTTTAAAATCATGATTCCGAAAAAACTTACCAAGCCTGAAATATCAATCCCTCGACTCGCCACATCCGTGCAAAGCAAAACTTGGATCTTTCCCTTCTTTAGATCGTCCAAACGACGCATGCGTGCGTCTTGATCGAGTTTTCCGTGCAACTCACTGCTCCGAATCCCGTAACGACGGAGCTTGCGACTGACATGTTGCGAGGCATACCGAGTCGACACAAAGACTAAGACCCGATCCCATTCATCTCTGTAGTCGTCCTCCAATAATTTGCGCAATACCTGCGTCCGGTCTGTCTTTTCCATTCGGATGTTTCGAATGCGAATGGTTGAGGCAGGACCCACCTGCTGGTACTTTGATGCGGACGTGACGGTTTTGGATTGTTCCAATTTCTTCTTGAGAGAAGTACTTATGGTTGAATCTCCTTCTGATTTTCGATCCGAATTGGCACATACGAGACGAACAGGTGACTTAGTTGCTCCGATGGACGATAGAACGTTGTCTAGACGTGGTTCGATAGATTTTGGGAAGGTAGCCGAGAACAACCATGTCGCAGGAGTAGACGACATCAAGTTCAGCACGCTATCTACTTCAGCCTTAAATCCATTTCCCAGAAGTCTGTCCGATTCATCGAATACAAGATATCGCAATCCATTCAGAACATTTCTCAATTGACTTCTACCGTCACTTCCGTCGTCGTTTTCATCGTCGTCTCGGTGTATGGTATCCAGTCCCAACATTTGTAATTCTTCAAGTGACACCTCTCCGTCGTCAGAGTTATCAATCGCAGCTAGCAACCGCCGTTCCATGGCAGCGTCCTTGGCATTTGAATTTCCTCTTTTTTCGTCGTATGAGGTGAGGACGTCGATCAATCTACCAGGGGTAGCGACCAATACGTCAATTGTCGTGTGGTGCCGCACGCAATCGGCGAGTCGAGCAATTTGTGGCTCCAGGGGAACTCCACCGTGTAAAACCATGGTAGAAAACCCTTCGTATTTATTCCTCCGGTCCATCGATACAATGTCATCCACCATTTGATCCAAGACTCCCCCAATTTGCACACACAATTCTCGGGTCGGGCACAAAATCAAGGCCGTGACCCGTTCTCCCTTCTGTTTTTTGGTTTGAGTACGATCAATCAAAATATTTTGCAACAAAGGAATCAGAAATGCGGCTGTCTTGCCGCTCCCCGTTGGAGCCTCGCACCAAAATGCATCGGTTGCGCCCCGTTCCAGAAGCCGAGGAATAGCCAATTGCTGAACCGGAGTTGGACGCTCCCAGTCCGATCGCGACCAAATCGCATTCAATACAGAGGGATTGATCCCGAGATTTGTAAAAGATCTCGCTGCTTCTGCATCGTCGGAGGCCAAGGCTTGCAATGGAGTCCCGTTGCTAGCCAGTGCATGCTGCGGTTCATGTGGGAGGACGAACGGAGACACAGTCGACAACTGTGCTGCCAACAGGAGAGAGGGGAGGAATTTCATCACGTGCAATTCAAAAAATCAATCGTTATAGCGGAAGGTATAAGAGGTGTATTTATTGCCTCGGTCTCGCTTTACAATATCGTTCAAATGGACCACAGCAGTGCGATAGTGTTCGCTTTCTATTGTTGTTCCTTTGCGCTGGCGCTACCGGTAGTACGGTGGATGTTTTTTTTCTAAATTTTTGATGGTAGAAAAGTATTTTCAACGAACAAAAAATGTGATGATTTCGATGGGGGGGGGGGGGGGGGGTGGTGCGTAACTCGTATGCTACGTGAACGTGCTGACTACATACATACGTACGGTACAGTAGAGGATGAATCAATTGAATGAAAAAAGTCACACGTATGGCAAGAAAGAGTTTCCCGTAGCCTCTCTTGTACAATCGCATTCTGTCGTAGGGTACCTGGTACTACGGCAGGATCGAATCGGGGGGCGGGGGGGGGAGAATTTCAAGGTGCTGCGGAAATTACAAGTACCGTAAAGTACTGCTCAATCATCAAAAACAGCACATGTTTTATCGAAACCTCGGCTATCCTGAATAGAAAAAAGTGGAACGGGCACGACAGAATCCATGTGACGTCTAAATAAATAACACTGTATTGTCCATGTTGATCCATATCTGTCCTGAAATACACTTGCTCATATCCAACAGTCGCAACATTACCATCGGCGTTTCCAAATTTCCATTAGACACTTCAGCGAAAAGAAAGGTTGGATGGCACCATGATCGTAACGAATAGAAGCAGGACTTTCTTTCATCGGCAGTACGTTTTTTTAGCTGTTGGTTGTCTGCTTCTTGCTCATCGTATTGGGTTGGATTCGTTCTTTACAGAGGCAGCACCAGACAAGTCGAGTGGTGGAAATGAGTGGAGCCATACAAACTATCCCCCTCACAATCGGCTCCGACAAAAAGAGGAAGGATTTCTATCGAAGGATTATGACCCAAACGTCGACAATAGCAACAGAAATAGCGGTGGTGGGGAAGGCGATGACGAAAATTTACTGATTCAAATTATCGAATCCGAGGTTTGGGATACAACTGAGAATAGGTGGAAGGGTGCTGCTGTAGGAGATGGAACGGGAGGTGGAAATCGATGGACGAATGAGAAGGGGCACCTTTCTCCGTCTCCCACCGCAATCGTCCCACCAGATGGATTTGAATTCTTGGGCGAATGGAAGATTGTTGTCAGTAGTAGCAGCAACAATGGTAGTAATAGCGCTGGTAACAATGGTATGGCTGGAGGTGGGGCAGTGGGAGGCGACTCCAAGGGATGGGGATACCAATTTCAATACTTGCAGCCACCAATACGACGAAGAATCTGGCTGAGAAGTTTGACCCCGATAAAAATGCCGCCCCCCCGGAAGCCAAAATCAGGTGTCGGTATACGGCCACCACCGCCAATAATTCCCAAAAAAACTCCGATTCAAAAAGCGAAAGCACCGAGGACGACGAACCGATTGACACGCGCCATGCGACTCGTACGCGACGATTTCAATTACAAAGGCTTGGGTTTCAATCTTTTCAAGTCCTTTATTTGGCCTTCTTCGATTGGAGTAGCATTGAGAATCCCACTCTCTATCAATTTCGATACTTTTGATAGGAATCCAGGATGGCCCATCGTCTCCAGCAGCGCATGCGTATTCTACCCTCCGATGGTGGCAGGTTTTTTGTCGACGAGCTTCCATGTGGAATGGATCAAATGGCTGTTCCTATGTTCATTAGGATTGGTTCCTCGCTCTTTCTTTTGGATTTTGTACCGAGTTATCTTACCAGTAGTTTGGATGGTTGTCTCTGTGGTCTCCTTTCCTTTACGAGGAATATATTCTTTACCTCCCTGTCCCACCAAGCTACCCAGTGGAGCCTGGTGGACAGGAAGAAATATTGCGAAGCCCAAGTACAATACGGATTTGTCTGAACGCATTGGATGTTCCGTTTCTTATCGATGGTCCAAAAAACGAGGATACGAGTGGCGGATCAGCTATTTCCATTCATATCTACCCACCCTGCTTGTCTACCAACAACTTTTTTCCCAACTTCAAGAAAAATTGGAAGGGAGCATCAAGTCTGTCAGTAACAGCAGCAACAATAGCAGCAGTAACAAATCATCTACCGTAGCCCCTTTGACAAAAGGCAAGAAAAACTGGTTAAGAAAACACTTCGCATCGCTTGGTGTCAGTACGAGCGGCCCGATTCCCGATACTCCCCCAATTTCTTGTTCGGCGAATTTCAGTTTGAGTGGACTTTATTGGAGCACAGGGAGAAAATCAAAAAGAAAAACCAACAACATCTCGTCATCCAATTCTGGGATATCTACCGCGACGGGATCCAAAACAGCCGAGACTGGTTCGGCTAGTTTGAATGAAGGGAACGATGAAGACACTGCTTTCATTGCCGACGAGAACTACAAAGAACTTGTACCACTTACAAATACCAGGATACGAACCAGTGTATCAAATCAATGAATTGAATGGTTTTGTGACATTTTAACTGAAATCCAGTGGTTAATGCGAAAAAGCAGGAATGTGATCGCATTCCCAATATAGAGATGTCAAACCAATATCCAGAAAAATTCATGTGAAGAAAGCTACAGTCCTAGATCAGAAAACGACAACATAGAAATCAATAGAAAATACTAATAAACATAAAGGGATTTTACAGAGACTCTCGTATACTTCTATCCTTCTTTTTTGGGTCCACCTCTGGGGAATCAAACAGTTCTCTATAAAGGAAGGAATATTAAACGCTATTCTCTCGAGATGGTGTTTTAGCTTTTGTTTTTTCTATTGTAAGAATGTTTGCTATTCCTAGGAAGTCAAAGACATGATGGCATTGACCAAGTCACCATCGTTTTCTCGAAGTGCTTTGACAGCCTTGGCTCGCGAGCAGCCAGCTTGTGCAACGCAGAGATCAATGTCTTTGGCCTCCAAACCAGTTTCGTCGACAGCGGTGTCGGCTTTTTCGACTTGCGGGGATTCTCCGCCAGCGGCTGCTCCTGCGGGCATTTCGATACCACTTCCATCCGATTTTGCCATGGCTGCCAATTGCTGGATCGCTTGGGCTTGCTGCTGGGCTTGCGTTGCGCCACCGAGACCACCACCACCCTGGCGAGCCTCTCCAAAGATAACATACGATCCGTTCTTTTCATAGCAATCCGGGGAAGCGATAGTAAATATTCCACCGCGGACACCTCCACCTCGCATTTTGAGAACGACCTGGGAAATTCCGGGGACAGCTTTCATTCCAAGCTTTTCCATCATTCTGCGGGCTTTGCGTTCCGCGCGGTTAATAGGTGCAGGAGCGGGAGGAGGAACAGCGACGCTTTGTGTAGCTGCGGAACTAGCGGCATCCATAGAAGGCATTTCTTCCAAGTCGGGGACTTCCTCTAGTGTGGGAACCTCTTCTTCGGCATCTGCACCTCCAGCTGCAGCTGGTGCTGGTGCTGACACCGGTGCTGATACTGGCGCTGGTGTTGCCTTGGCACTTTCTTTCTTTGGGGCTGGTACTCCCTTGCTAGGACTGGCCGGGATCGAAGGGTTGCCTCCTTTTGCTACTGAAATTTTCGCTTCGTTGTAGGACTGCAGGTTCTGCTCAGCGTCCTTTTTGTAGTTGCCGATGCGTGTACGTTCCTGCTCGGCCTTGATCGCGTTTTCTTCCGCCTCCGGAGTCGACAAACCTGAGGCATCCTTTAGTTTGCTGGCGTTCTTCTTTGTGACGCCTTGGCTGCGGAGAGCTTCCAATTCTTCTTTGACACCCATAGTTTCTTGAAGTTTGCAGGTTTGAAGTGAGAAAATAATTGTAAGCGCATGTCGGTGAGAAAACGACAGCGGTATCAGCACCTTGGAGGGTGGTGACGAAAATCTGCCCTGCAGTTTCAACGGATTGTTCCCTAGCAAGAAACCCCGCGTTCATTGTACTATCGGTACGATTACCTCTATTGTACTTCAGTATTAATAGCTACAGTATCCGTTTGTACTGGTACTGTTCGGTAGAATACAGAATACTAGAATATCAACCGGTAAATCCATTTTGATCCACACATTTGCGCTATGAATAACAGTCTGTCCTTCGTTTCGAGCAGATTTCGAGCATCTTCAGGCTTGTTCATTGTTTATTTCTGAACCGTACGTACCTATCAGTACCGGTACTTGTACTTCACTTCTGTAGAATTAATACCTGCAGCCTGCAGTGTACCGAAAGAGCACCGTACTTACGATACAACGAAACAGAGGTACGAAGTAGCCCTGTACGTACCGACCGAAGTACGGTACCAGGTACTTGTACGAGACAAACAAGAATATTGTAGTACGAAATAGAAGTACAGTACTGTACAATACAGTAAGAACGTATCATTCGGTACGATGACGATATGTTGTTGCCGTGTTAGTCGTAAATGGGAATCAATTATCCACCATGAGAGAACAGAGGGCACGAAGGTAAAGGGCCGGTTGATGAAGTTCTGGCAGAAGATGCCGCAGAGACATACGGTACCGCAGTGCTGTCGATTGTTTTCAGATTTTGATGCCGAGAAATACGGGATATATCAAGTTGTTTACTGCCTAGACGATTGCGATGCCTCGTACGGACCCAGCGCAACAACAGTTTGATTATTTTTCTGGTGTCCATCCATACAACAGCTGTAAGGATGGTTTTTGTCTCGACTTCTATAACTTTCGAACGATGATATCGGTCGTTACCGATCTCTTGGCGCCCGTTTACATCATTCTGAGCTTGATAGCAGTAATTTCGCGATACAATTCCAAGTTGAAGTTGTTGGCGTCTCATGGAAAAACTTCCAGTGGAAATGCAGACCTGAAAACCCAATCGTCGACGCCATTGTCATCTTCGAGCCCGTCGTGGTGTTGGGTGTCAAAACGACGCTTCTCGCATTTTTATTTGTTAGGACTCTTTTCTACTGTTACTGTGACATCGATTTGGCTTTGGAGTCATGATGATCACGATACCAATACACGACAACATATGCAACACAAGGCCAACAATGACGCGATGTTCTTGGAAACAAACAACCTTGCAAGCAACAGCAGGGTGACTTCTGTTATTCTCTTGGTAATGCATCTCATTCGCCGGGCCTACGAATGCATGTACGTGCAACAATATGCAGAGGGCTCGAGCAAGATGCATATCGCAGGGTATGCGTTGGGACTTGGCTACTATCTTGTACTCCCACTTTTCTTTTGGGACATTGCTGCTTTCACACAACCTCGAGCTAGCATTGTACTTGATGGCAATTCTTTAGAGACGAAAATGAGGATGAATACTAATGAATCTGCTTTAGAAACGCCTCTTTTCCTTTGGATTATTATCGGTATCAATTTGTGGCTGCAATATGAACAAAACGCACACCACAGAATCTTGGCAGATATGAGACGCAACCCAGTGGCTGAAGCCAAAACAAGAATCAAAGGTGATGAAAGTGACGTCAACACGAATAGTGACAACAAACATCTCAAAAGTGATGGCAGTGACGGCAGGGATAATGATTGCAACCGAAACCCTAAAAGCCGGTATGAGCAGTATTCACTTCCACCCTATATTCGATGGTTCCGATACGTCTTATGCCCCCATTACCTTGCCGAGATACTTCTCTACTTGTCCTTTGCTATCCTTCTAGAAATAGCAGCAACCACAGTAAGTACAAGTAACACCTCAGACGAATTTGTGTGTCCCAACACTAGCAGTAACGATAGCTGTGATGGCAAAAATCACTCTACGAGCGGCCACGTGCTTCATTTCAGGAAGATTTTGTTTCTGCTTCATCTTGGGAGAAAATATCGTCAATGGATGCTCTTTATATGGGTCGTTACAAATCTGACTGTCTCAGCTCTCAATAGTTATGACTGGTACCATGCCAGGTTGCACAAAGGTCACCGTGATAACAAGAACCACGACACCTGTAGTCAAATCGCAAGAAACGAAAATTGCGATCCCCGGAAAGCTCTTTTTCCAGTACTTTTATGACAAGGAAAAATCATTAAAAATGGCAAATAATTGAAATCTGCATTTGACCATGGAATGTGAATTTCATCAACAAAACATGTTTTCTGAAGTCATAAAATATTTCAAACCTGAAATAAAATATTGTATCAAAATTCAAAATGCGTTACACACGTACGTACGGTACGTAAGTACCTACCTTCGACAACTTCGACAGGAAATAGAAATTGCCACGATTCAAAACACCAAACGCGACTAGGTCGAAAGCGGAAGATCAACAAAATCTAATCTCTCAAGCAATTGATTGATTCTCAACATGCCCTCCTGTACCCCTGAAGATTCGATTCGCCTCCGTCGATTAGAAAAAGTTCGCTTTCGGAAAATAAGTGTTGAGGAGCATTGTAACTGTTCCCTCTCTGCCTTTACAAATTGACCTATTTGTTCTCTTCACTTGAGAGAAAGGCTGTGCTGAACGACAACAACGACGACTAAACAAGTAACAAGGACTACAGGAGCAATAAGAATGGATCGAACAACGGCTTTGCTTGCAGCTGCCCGGTTTACTTCCGCTATCGCTCGTTTGTGCCTTGGTCCTCTATTGCCTATGCTGAGTTTAAGCTTAGGTTTTTCTGAGGATTCTAAACCGATTCTGCTCTCGGCTTATTCATCCGGATATCTTTTGACACAGATAGGCGGCGGATACCTAGCAGACAGGCATGGATATGCAAAAATTGTTTCCGTAACAGTCGGTCTATCTTCGCTGATTTTGTTCTACGTTTCTTCATTTGCGACGACCTCGCTCGCCTGGATTCGAGCCTTTTTTTGCTTGGGACTGGTGGCTGGTCCATTATTTCCTGCAGGATCTGCTGCCATTTCAGCAAACGTACAAGCGGATCGAAGGGCTGCATCTTTTGCCATTATTGATGCATCCGCTAGCGCAGGTACAACAGTTGCATCGTTGGCACCAATTGTGGCGGATTATATGGGGTGGAGATTCATTTATCGACTTACTGGTATATGCCTTTTACTTGTTGCACTTGGAGTGATATCGTCGGTGGGATCCAACAATGCGCCCAAAAAGATGGCATCGTTACCGTCGTCGTCGGCCTTGCTATCTCAAACTTCTCACCATTTTAAGGATGACAAAAATAGCAGCAAGAGCCGAATGATGTTGATGATTAATAGCGTTCTCTTGCCGGTGGCAGTTTGTGCTTATCTCTGTCACTGTTGTGACAATTTTACCAAGTACAGCATAAACTCATGGGCCGCAACGATGCTGGTCAACAGACACAAAGCATCACCTGCAGTAGTAAGCAGTATTCTTGCAGGGCAGGAGGCGGTAGGTGTAGCTTCAAAGCTCCTAATAGGCACGATGGTTTCCTTTCAAAGCAATACCATGACGTCGTCGTCGCTATTTGTAAAGCGAGGTACGATATCAGCTTTTGGGTTCGTTTTACAAGGTATAGCTCTGTGGTACGCGTTTCAGGCAGCCAACCCGTATCAAGCGGGATTCTTTTTTATTGTTTCCTCTATTGCCGCTGGGACTCATTCGGTAGGATTTCGACCCGTTTACTTGGAGGCATCGCCTCCTCATGCGGGCTCAATCTCGGGGTTTGGCAACTCCATTGCTAGCTGTGCTTCGGTCCTCGGTCCCATGGTGATTGGATCTTCCGTTTATCAGACTATTGATGTGAAACAAATCAACCCGTTCAGAAGAGGACTAGGATTCCTACATCCGAGGAAGGAAAGCCTAACGATACGCACAGAAGATTGGTCCAAGGTTGCTTTCTATATGATATGCACCAACGTATTAGGTGCAATGGCTGCACTAGTCATAGGTTACAGCTCAATGAGAAGGCGGCAAGAGAAACAACGAAAAGAGTACACTATTTAGAATACCCTAGCAGGTAACCACTGCCGTCATAAATACTACTAACTACTGTATCATTTTGTTCACCTTCTTGTGCCCCTAAATTAAATTCATGTGCATATTTTATGATGATTGTATGCAAATATCTGCCCCTTTTCTGTGGAACATGTTCTTGAACCACTTGTTTCTCATGAGGAGTTTGGTGCTCGTTCTATTGGTCGTTTCCAATTTTTATTCCAAGCAATTTTTTTCTCCTTTGTCAACAAATTACGATCTTAATCATATGACAAGCATCTTGTGTCCCTACAAAATGTTTAATTGGATTGCCTTTATTCCTTTTCTAGGATTCAATTTCTTCTCCCCTGTTGCCAATTCTCTGCCAAATAGTGACAACTCTTCTACTGCTGCTGCCAATTCTGTTTCAAAGTTCAATAGCTTCCTGGACAGCCTATGTCCCTTGTAGTAGCTCCACCAGCCCACTTTGTTACCAATCCTGCTGTCAATGATTGTTTGTTAGCATCAATACTAGTAACATTTTGTTTTCCCACAATTTTATGGCATTGTTTTCATGTGAAGTTTTGTTTTGTCTTCTGATGTGCGCGCCAGAGAATCTTAGGCGCACGTTGTTGCCTGCCACATATTTTCCATAATCTACTCCTGAAGACCACCACACCATCAGACTGCGTCAATGGAAGAAATTCTTAAGGTTGTAAGCCCTGGTACAAGCTCCTTACTACTATTAGTAGCTAGAAATACTAATAGTAAGGACCACAAAGAAATATAGTTTAGTTTTTAGATGAAATGGAGAGGCAAAAACAATACACCACGATGGCAGCCAGAAAAGCCAAAAAATTCAGCAACTTAACAATAATCCGTCTGAAGATCATTGCAAAATGTACATGTGCTCTTTAGTGTCGTATAACTACTTGTTGTTTACAATAAAGAGTGAGCTTATTCACTAGCTACTTGTGATTTAGGCTCACACACACACACACACACTTGCAGAATCTAGAGACTCGAGTGAGTCAAATGTACTAGCAGAATATAGTAGATCTTGTAGAGGATCAAGAATGCAAGTGGAGCAAGATTATACGGCATGTATTTACGTGAGTCACATAGAATTCATTCACATTGTTGGTTTGTGTTTCTGCTGTATCCTCATTAAAATGGGTGTGTTGGTTGGTTGACAGGGAAATGGACGCAAAGTTTGGTTTTACGCGTCCCATGAATATATTGGTATGTTCCAGGAATTTTGTCCTCCTCCCGGTGGGTTTGCTCAGTGAATCAGAGTACTTTTCATCAGACCTTGTTTCCACAAAGTTCATGTGTTTGCTCATCATCTGTCCATTGGTGGAGGATGACAAAGTGTTTCATTTCAACTTGTCTTGTTCTTCTTCTGGTTGGTTGATGGGCATTAGCTATTCTAATGGCACCGTGATTGTTGGCTATTATTGGTGTAGGCATGGTTTGGGCTAGGTTTAGTTCCTGCAAAAAGTATGTGTGCTCTTTAGTGTCATAACTAAGTGTTTACAATAAAGAGTGAGCTTATTCACCAGCTACTTGTGATTTAGGCTCACAATCGTTATGAACAAAATAATGTTTTTAAGCGTAACCGTACCGTACAGTATAGGACTCCTAATGTCAAGCGCAATAAAGTGAGCAGCACCAATAGAACCCCCTTACCCAGCAGTTCGCAGTGTTCACTACTACTATGGCATCCCAACTAGTAAGTAGTAATGGAGGTGATCAAGTAGTAAGCACTAATATTAATTCTCAAGTAGTAAGGACCAGTAATAGAAATATTTTGGGACCAGCGAGAAATTAAACAATGGAAATATTTTTATTTTTGTCCGTTGGATGCCTTTTTTAACTGTAAAAATGAGCTAAAAATTTCTATTAGTATTTGTACGGGGATTGCCAAGTACTTGACTTTAGTGCGCTTTTACTTAGGAGTCCTCGTACAGTACGGTATTCGTACTTGTACAATCGAAAAAAAAAACTGAAAAATTGATGCTTGTTGAGAAAGATGACGCGAGACACTTCGCTATTCTACGTTATGAAGGGACGACGGTGAGGGACACTCGAAGTGTGAAAAATAAGTGTGGTGATTCGGTATGAAGGTGCATTACAATATTGAGAAGTCCGGTATTGTACCTAGTACTGGTCCTACGCATACAGCAATGTGAAGATCACCGCGCGTTCCTTATAAATAAAAATTACGGTTAAGTTGTTTATATTCAAAAATATTCAAGGATATATATCGTTTGATATATTGGGATTGCTCTTGAAAAGCGTGTCGAAGAAGAGTCATCACTGTCATAAAATTAGTACCACATCTTTTTCATTGAAACCGTCGATCGCTAAAACTCTGCAAATAATAACAGCTGTCACACAATTGAACATTCGCGGCTTCCAAATCCAATAACGCTGGCGAAATCAGCTTCTTTACGCATAGGCACACCCTATAAATTCCATTTTAGTTGAGAAAAGAACCATGATGTTCATGAGAGTAGAGGTCTTCCTCTGCGCCTTGTCGCTTTGCCCTTTGGCATTCGTACATGGACAGGGCCTGGGCATCGTGAATGAAGATATTAAAAAAAATGATATAGTTGATATGATGAAAAGCGAAAGAAAGAGAAGAAGCGGACGTCCCTTTTTTATGCGAATAGGTTCAAGAACGCAACCGAAATTCGAAAGCCGTAAACCAAATATCGTGGAAAAAACGGCAAACCTTGCGCAGACTGTTAACATTGCTGCAGCTACAACAGATAAAGGAAATAGAGCATTGGGTGATTTCGACGAAAACCAATTCTGGGAGAGTTACCTACTCGCACAAAACAGTTTGCAGCCTGTTACTGAGAAGCCAACTTATGCTCCAACAAATAAACCTCCAGTCGGAACTGTTACTAATGCGCCTACCGACAAACCTCCAACTGGATCGCCACCTACAAACACGCCGACAAATGGAGACCTTCCTCCTCCCCCAATGCCAACTCCTACTCCACCTGTAATCCCCCCAACAGATGCGCCTACGTGTAAACCAATCGGTAAGTGCGATAACATACTAACTCTTCAGGTCAATACTGACTGCTATAATGACTTCTGATCAAATGCGGCTCACCACTTGTACTTTTGTCTTTCCGTGATTCCTGATTGTACCAATATGACTTTTTTAGCCGAACTTGCTTGTTCTACACCTGGCTTCTCTATTCTATGTGAATTGGTGATGATTGCCAACCTTGCTGATCCGTTGACGAATGATTTGTTAACTGTTTTCGCGCCTACCGACGATGCATTTTCAGCACTCCCCGAAGATGTTGTTGCAGGTCTAACTTCAAGTCCCAGTCTTCTTCGTGAGGTTCTATGGTATCATGTAGTTCCAAACGCTGAGATTTTGACTTCAGATCTTATTTGCGAAGGTGGAGCCTTCGACAAGTTGACAATGGCTAGTGGCGAAGACACAATCATTAGCTGCGGAACAGCAGGAGACACGCCAGATACTTTTATCAATGGAAATGGTAATACTGCACCAGGGCCGATGATTATTGCAGCAGATGTTGATGCATGTAACGGTATTGTACAAGTAATTGATGGTGTCATCCTCCCGGGTGGCCCAGGTACGGCTTCACCCACCACAGTTCCTGCTACGCCTGCTCCTATCCCTTCAACTGATGCTCCGGTTACACCATCAACTGATGCTCCGGTTACACCACCAACTGATGCTCCGGTTACACCACCAACTGAAGCTCCTACCGGTGCTCCAGTTACTGTTCCAACTGCTACTCCAGTTCCACCGCCAACTATGGCTCCATCCGATGCACCTCCGACTGATGCTCCGGTTTCAACTCCAGAGACCCCAGCTCCGGTTGTCCCAGCTACACCAGCACCGGTTGTTCCTCCAACGCCTGCGCCAGTCGTCCCTCCGACACCTGCACCAGTTGTTCCGCCAACACCTGCACCAGTTGTTCCGCCAACACCTGCACCAGTTGTTCCAGCCACTCCTCCTCCGACTGACGCACCAACTGCACCTCCGACTGCTCAACCGACAGTAGCGCCTGTTGCTCCGACAGAGGCTCCGGTTGCCGGACCATCTATTGTTTTACAGGCAGTCGAGCCAGTTGCTCTTTTCGGTGGAAACGAGTTCAACGACCCTTCCTCTTTTCAAGCGAGAGCGCTTGCAAGGACAGCAGAAGTTCCGGGTATCGAAACGCAAACTCCAGCAAAGATCATCCAGTATTATGCTCTGTACTGCATCTTCTTTGCCACAAATTCGGTTGCAAATATCATAACTGAGAGTGAAGGTATTCTCGATGTTCCTGGTTGGATTGTACCTTCTGGTTGGGATTCCACTACTGCTGATCCATGCTCCGGATGGTTTGGTGTATCCTGTAATGGAAACGGTCAAGTAACTACGCTTGATTTGTTCAGCAATCTCTTGACCGGAGAATTTCCTGCAGAAGTAACTTTGTTGGCCTCAGACGGTGCTCGTTCTACTGGTGCTGGAGCTTTGGAACGAATCGATCTCTTTGACAACATGCTGCTCACCAATGGCGGGGACAATTCCTGGTGGTCGCAACTGGGATCAGCGTTCGGTAAGTTTTTTTTTTCTGAAATAAGTTTGTGCAATGTGAAAAAAACGTGTTGCAAACCTATTGGTAATATTTGCTCCTGTAGTAACTCACCTCTTGTGTCCTTCCCAATGTATTCCTCCGCAGCATTCCTCTTTTTCAAGAATACTGCATTCTCGGGACCTCTCGGTCGTCTTCCCGACAACATTCGTGAATTCGATTGCTCTTTCTCTTTCATCAGTGGAGGACTCTCGCAGCAGAACTTCCAGGGACTCAACAGCTTGGTGTTTGCCAACTTTGATGGAAATGCCTACAACTCAACCGTGCCTTCCGCGTTCTCGAGCATGCCAAACCTGCAGTTTTTGTACATTGTGGATGGGTTCATATCTGGAGATCTCTCTTACATGATTGGCATGCCCTCGCTAAGGGAGCACTGGGCGGACACAAATCCAGGATTGGGAGGCAACCTTCCAGCGGGCCTTGCAAGTGTCAGCACCCTTGAATCGTTTTCCATTACTTCCTGCAGCTTCTCGGGAACGATTCCACCAGAGTTTGGAAACTTTGGGTTTGTCATGAAGCAAATGTGGATGTACGACAACGATCTCACTGGAACCATTCCGCCCGAGCTGGCACGGATGACGGCCCTGCGCCTTCTCCAGCTGGAGGGAAATGCCTTTACCGGTTCCATGCCCCCCGAGATCTGCGCCAACACAGTCTTTCCCAGACCGCTTGCCGAGCTCGGGGCCGACTGTTTTGACGAGAACTTCAGCTGCGACTGCTGCACCTGCTGTTCCGTCGAGGAGTGCCCGATCTAGGCGAGGCTTGCTGCACGGCAGACCCTTGCATCCCCCGGAATTGAACCGCGGAGAGAAACGACGCGAGTCGACGACGACTACTACTGCCACTCGCTCCACCACTACCCAAACAATTTATCTACCAATGAAAAACAAACGTTTAGTTCGTTCGCTTTTGTCTGCGATAAGACTGTGGACAAGAATGAACAACAACGAACGAACAACGAACGAACAACAACAAGAATTCTTTGTATCTTACAATACAAACGTCGCTGTATATCTAAGAAAATAAAACTTAAACATTTCACCCCACACACACAAACACACACACACACATAAGCCACGGATGCGTTGTGCCTCGATGGCGCTTCTGCTTTTGCGATTCTTTGCGATTCGATTCGATTCGATTCGATAGATACAGTAGTTCGTTTCCAACCCATTTTGGCTGTTGCGATTGAAAAGATCCTCAGTTTCGAAGTGGAGAGTTGTCTGATAGAACGCGCATTCAAAAGTGTGCACTGGTGTGTGTGCTTTGGAACTTTTGCTAGGCAATGTTCTTGGTGTACAGCGGAACCAGAACAGACGAGACTACAGTATTCGTGACAAAAAAATAGGGAATGCGCTGGTGTTGTGCACCTGGGTTCGTTGCTTGAAGCATTGTTTAGTTTTTACAAATCTCGGTCCCGTCGCCCGAGCATGGGTTGCGTGTTGCGTTGCACCCTTGCGTGGCTTTGGACCTTCTCAACGAAAATGCAAAGTTCGTTTTTGTGTACAGTACAGCGGAACCGCAAGAGACCGCGGTGCGTTGGGCGTTGTGTTGTGGTTGGGTGCCCGGATCGATTCGATTCGATTCGTCGGTGTGGTTGGTTGGTTCCATCCGGCCTTTTGGTTTCGGCACCGGGGCTATGGTTCGGGCAATGCGGGTGCTCGGATCCATCGTTGCATCGATCGTTGCATCCGTTTCTTCTTCCTAGGCGGGATCCGGCAGGCACTGCTGGTAGGTGTAGGCCAGGAACACCCCGATGGCCAGCCACGACTGCCACTTGCGCATGCCGGCTTTTGGATCGTGGAGGAGGAGAAAGGGCCACGGGCAGGAGCCGCCGCCGTGGGCGTGTTGCTGCTTGGCTTCGTGTTGTTGGTGTTGCTGTTGGTGTTGCTGTTGGTGTTGGTGTTGTTCGTGGGATCCGCCGTGGCCGTGGAGGTGTCCAAAGGCGGAGGCGCCGCTCATGTTGGCAAAGGGACACTCGGCCGGGGGCCGCTGGAGTGGTTCCTCTTCGGATGTCGATGTCGATGTCGATGTCGATGTCGATATCGATGCGACGCGGCTGTAGACCTCTTGGATGGGCCGGACGGACGCCCCGGGGACGGAGGACTCCACGTCCAGTTCCTCAAAGAGGCGCATGTTGAGCAAGAAGGCCACGTTGGCCTCCTGCACAATGGCCTGGACGGCCTCGTTGGCGTCGTCGAACTCCAAATCGTTGAGGCACTGGCGGTACTTGTCCTTGAAGGCCACGACCGATCCGCGGAGCAGGGGAAAGTCGTAAAAGGCGAGGCCCTCCGTTAGGCCGTCGGGGCCCCTGTCCAGGTTGAGGGCCCGCTTGGCCACCCGGGCCAGGACCTTTCCACCGGAGAGATCCCCCAGGTACCGGGTGTACGCGTGTGCCAGCAAGAGAATGGGGCGGTCTCTGGCCACCGCTTCGATGCGTTCCAGGTAATCCCTGGTGGCGGGGGAAACCGGGGGGAAGTCGTCGCTTCCCTGCCAGAAATCAATGTCCTCTCGCAGGGCCTCCGTGCGGGCCAGTTCCTTCGGAAAGTGGCAGTCCGGAAAGTGCTCTGGCGCGTGCTCGTCCAGGGCTTTCTCGAGGTGCCGGTAGACGTGAAACATCTGCGCCACGAACAGGGCGTACATGCGGCGATCGATTTTCCCCCGGATAAAGTTTTTCACAAAGTGCACCGACTCGGCTTCTTTGTGGGCGTCCTCGGTGCCCGTCTTGAGGGCTTCCGACAGCCGCCTCTCCTGCTTTGGTGGTTTCGATGTCGATGTCGATGGCGATGTCGATGGCGATGGCTCGCAGGGGATTGGATCCGAAGCATCCGAAGCGTCCGGAGCTTCCCTGGCGGTGTCCTCCCGTGGGTGCGGCGTTCGCGTTCGGGGCACTCGGAATTCTTCGCTGTCCGTTCCAAGGTCGTCTCCGTGGACGCTGCTGCTGCTGCTGCTGCTGTCTTCGTCGTCAAACGCATAGGCATAGCCGTGCTCCCGGACCAGCCGGCTCAGGATCGCCGAGAAGGAAAAGTTTTCCAGGGCCCGGTCGCGGTGAAAGAGGGCGAGGGTTTCGACCAGCACGGCGTGCGTCGTTTGCGATTGGTCCGTGTGGCTCGCCGGGAGCTTCCGAAGGATCTCCGAGACGTCCTCGGGGGATTTCGCGTCCTTGAAGGGGCACGAGCGGTTCGCAAAGACGGGGCACTCCTTCCAGGGCAGCGATCCCGGGGAGGGCGGGGAGGACAGACTCGCGGAAAGACCCGCGGACACCGAGGAGGAGGCCGATGCGTCGTCGCTCTCGTGGAGCGCCTGGGCAAACGGGCAGGAGGAGGATCCCGTGCTGGAGGCGGAGGTGCGCCGCGGCGCCGCCCTTCTTTCAGAAGGAGGCTGCTTCTGGGCAAAGGGGCAACCGCCGGGGGGAGGCCCTTCCGCGCTCGCTGCGAAGGGATCCGTCATGGTGTGTGCTGTGCCGTGCCGTGCTGCCTTTTCGGGAAAAAATCGTTGCGTGTGCGAAGCAGTGGCACTCCTTGCTTTTCGATCTGTTCCTTTTGCGATTTGTGAGCTTGTTTCGGTTTCTTCGGCCGTGTGTGTGGGCCGGGTTTTCTTCTTTGTGTTTCTGTTGCTGTTGCTGTTGCTGTTGCTGTTGCTGTTGCTGTTGCTCCGGTTCCGGTTGCGGTTGCGGTTGCGGTTGCAGTTGCAGTTGCAGTTGCAGTCGTATGGAACGAAAACACCTTGGGTGTGACGACAAGATGGCAATCGACTTCTCAGCGAGAGAATTCTATCGTGCACGGGTTCATGCGGTGGTGCGTGCATCTGTCGAGGCAGGGCATCAGCACCATCATCAGCGCAGCATCAGGAACAGTACCAGTACGGGTACGAGTACGAGTACGAGTACGACTGCGTACTTTACCGTTGCGTAGCGTACAGGAAGTTCCGTGCCAAATCACGGTGTGGTGCTGTGTTCGCCCTTCGCATTGCGTACTTTACGCTACGGTACGGTACGGCAGAAGGAACTCCTGTTCCGTGTCCAGTGTCCAGCCAGCAGCACGATTGACCTCGGTAGCCCAGGCAGCGGTGTGTGCGCCTTCGGGTTTTGGTCTGTACGCTATGTACCAGTACGTACGAACGAGTGCGAGCACGAGTACGTACCGCAAGTACGGTACTGTACCGTTCACTTCGTGCTTCGAATGCTACAGTACGTACCAATGGCAAGCTACTCGTACGCAACGCTACGGTACGTACGGTACGGTATGGTTCTGCAGGTTCATGGTCCAACTAACTCTTGTCGTGCGAGACCCCCGGTTCGAGAAACCGGTGGGCCGCAAAAGCATTCGTGGCGGCCGTCGCACACCCAACGTCCGAAGCACTTCGAGCGCGTGCCAGACGGACCAGCATGGCGAGCTCTGTCTCGAGAGAAACGGAAAGAGGGGCCTTTTCCCCATGGGATGTCTGCCGAGGGAGAGCCCCCGACCGCGCGTTTTTATCAACGCGCGACTAGTAGTAGACCGAATGCATTTAAGAATCCATGGTTTGTGGGGATAGTTTTGTGCACTTCATGGGGAGGGTAATTACATAGTTAATTAACTTAATGCCTGGTATTAATGTAACGAAATCACTCAAGTTATCAACTTTGTATGGCAGAGTCAGCAATTAAGTGAATGGGTGATTCCCCTTGTTATCGCATAGGGTGGGCCAAGAAGAAGTGAAAAAAGACGGTTATAACTGTACATTAGCAATTCAAGATATACGTACAGCACGTATATCGTTCAATATTTGCCGTACACCGTACTACCCCAGGCCATTAGAAAGCTCTTTGGATTCTCTTTTCAACCATGTGCTAATCATACTTAAGCATCTGTTGGGGAAAAAGTTATCTATTCCCGTGAGTTGAACCTCTCTTAATGCCCTACGTATTTTTTGTACTGTGCGTGGATTTTGGGCCATCTAATTACTGTGTAATGACTCGTGGGATTAAAATTTGACTTGTACCAGGGCTACAGTGTGCATGTGCAAGCGAAACTATTTTGGATACTATTTTGGTTGCAAGACTAGTGGGATTCAAAAATTTGAGTACGTACTTGTGGATTTTGTGTGTATTTAATTTCTTAGTAGTAGTCAAAGTAGTCATTACACCATGGAAAAAGATGGCCACAAATACACGGCTGGAACCGTACATTAGCTGGCCACCTCTATAAGATAGAATTGCTCAATGGCCATATTTAGCACATTTAGCAATTCTGTAATAGCGGGAATCAAAATTTCAACAGACAGACGGCAAGGAAGGAGGCAGGCTTCATCCTCTCAGTCTTTTTTGGAATCTGGAATCTCAACTAAAATTCAACATAAAGGCTGTTCAGACTAAAAAGAGGCATTCACACCACTTGGTACAAAGAGAAACATGAATTTTGTTGCAGTATTGCCACTACAATCCTCCTGTTCGTAGTAGTAGAAGGAGGAAGACCCAAATTTCTGATAATCGTCGTATCAAAAATGTGTGTCTTTCTTACAGATTCCATTCTTAATTTTGTTGATTTCAGTCTTAATTTTGGCAGGACTTTCTGTTGATTTTTTTCAATGGACTCAAAATATTGAATCATGAGTTCCATCATAGAATTTATTAGTACAGTATTTTTTTTGCCGCGCATGTTAAAAACATGCACAGATTATGGTTGCAACAAACAAAAATTTTACCCTAAGAAGCATCTCTTGGACGTAGTAGTAGTAGTAGTAGTAGTAGTAGTAGTAGTAGTAGTAGTAGTAGTAGTAGTAGTAGTAGTAGTAGTAGTAGTTACAATACCACACCAGTACTAATAGATAGAACTGCTACTAATGTAAAAATGGTCTGTCTTTCACCAGGTTTGCAATAACTTCTTATTGGTGAAAATTAGTGTTGTTAGATTGATGACTAATTTTTGCAACTGTATCATTTTTTCATTAGGATTGTCAGCATGTAAGTTCCTTGAATGTGTTTTAGTACTATTTACCTTGAAAATTTCAGAGGTAGTAAATGGATACATCAAATTTCCATTTGCTACTGAAATTATTGGCATATTCAGAATCCTTGTAAAAAAAAACTGATTTAGGAACAATGCAAACCACTATAGTGGTAGAAAATTATAATAATGGTATTGCCTACCTTTGCATGTTAAGTGTTTCTGTACCAGTTTGGTACACCCACCATCATCTGTAGCCTAAGTTTTAAATTCCAACCACCCTTTGGTTGTAGTACTCTGAGCCTCTTCCGGTATTGAAAAGGATGCATAGCGAAATACCAGCAAAATTGTGTCCTCCTTCCTTCTTCGTTCTTGTAGTATGTAGAATATTCTTCCCAAACTTAGTGGTCCTAGGGAGATTTATGTCAGATTGTCTTGATAGATCAGCTCCATAGTGATGTCCTAAAAGTCCTAGTATTCTTGATGCTACAAAAGAGGCGTTCACGGTGATGAGAAGCATTTTTGAAAAGATAAAATAGCACAGTAATTAACATTGTTGTGAACTAGAAGAGGTACTATGACGGCCAGAACCATAACTTCTGAGAAGAATGCTCCTAGCTGCTGCAAGGGGTGACACCTCCCTCCAAGGAGTGGTTGTGGAGGTGTGACTGAATGGATACATTGTATTTGAATTTCACTGGTTTGAAAGAATTGAGTCAGTGTGGTTTGAAGTGTTCTGCCGGGAGAAGTGACAGAAGGAGTCAAAGAAGTATCTGGCACTGCCAGGCTGTTTTCTATGGTTCTTTTTGGAGAATGCATCAAAGACCAGTCTGTGAATCTTGTGTGACACTCTCCAGTGATTATTTATTATGAGGCAATGGTGTTGAAAAATATTTGGTGATAGTAGGGGGTATGTTGGAGATTCATGTGAGAGATGCTTCACAGATGCTTGCATAAATTCTTTTCTCATACTATACGAAGAGGTAATACAAGAGCAAGGAGGTAGGGGCTTCAGATATGAATGTTTCACAATCCTTTGGGAATAAGAAGTGAGCATGAAATGGACCACACATCTGTGGTTTCAAGGCAAATAAATTGAAGAATTTTGTTAGTATGATCATCCAATGTTGTTTCACTGTTTGTTTCTGAGAAAAATTGTGGCTGTGAAATTCTTTATTTCAGTGTCCCCACAAAAGAAGTTTCAGGTACTAAGAAAGAATTCCACAAGATAACTCTCTAGCACAATTGGGGAGTGAGAGCTGGAATGAAGATCAGGGTGAGTGATACATTGAAAAGAAAAATGGCAAGCAAATAAGTGGTATGTCATAAAAAGTGTTTGCAACCAGTAGCAACCGCTCGCAACCTTTTTTTTAGAATACACACCCATTTTTTTCAACCGCCCACTGAACCTCACATGTAGCATGGTTTTGGTTGCATTCAAACATAAACTTAGTTGTGAGGGTTGCACTGGGTTGTTCCAGAAAACCAGTTTTATTTCTGTTCCAATGTAGAAGCAACCCTGAGTCCCACCACTGTTATGTTCACCATTGTTGAGCCAGAAATTGTTCACAATTTAGAAAAAAATTGAACTGTATTCCTTTGCTTTCACCAAAATCCACTCGTCCACGGTGCCATCTGCTTCTCTCTACTGTGTTGTTGCCATTGTTTTTATTTGTTCTCACACAATACATAGTATTCATCATGATTAGATTTCAAACGACAACTTTGCGTCTTGTTTGCGTATTGAAACCATTCACACATACACTATTTGAAATCCAACCAAAACAATTGTGCTCATAATCAACTCTGTTTTACAAACAAGCAGTATTTCACAATTTACAACAACACATTACCGCTGGTCATCCATTCTTCACTGCCATTCTCATCATATTTTTTTTCTAGTACTGCACTAGAACAATGAATTCATCCAAACCTAAGGGTTCTTCATGTTTGCCACCTAAGTCCAAGGATCTATCAAAACGTAAGATCTTCATCCAACAGCTTTGCTCCTCCATGCACCATGATCTTATTTCCTTGTGTGACACAGACGACAAGCTTAAGGAACACAAGAGCAAAATAGAAGTAATCTTTGACACTCATCTAGAACAACTAATTCAGGGCTATCTCCAGGACATGGTTGATGATGCGCTTGTTTCAACCTACAAGACCATTACCTGCATGGAGGCAGGCAAATCAAATGGCCCTGGCATTGGCTTGCAAGAAATTTTATGATGTCTAACAACAAGTAAATGAATGGGCAGATAATTGCGACGTCAAGTCTTTCACAAAGAAATGCCCCGCATGGGGCAATTTTCTTCTTGACGTTGTAGTGTAGTACATTGGGAAACTCAAGATCTTCATTATTCACCATCCATACATCTCAAGAGTTTGTATGATTCAAATATCCGAATGTATTGTGGCGCTTGACGTGGAAGGTGTCAACACCTATGTTGTTGAGTCTCTCCTGGATACAATTCACAAGTCCATTTCTGACGTGAACAGTTGCATCAGTTAAAATGGCATGCTTGTGAATAAGCTGTTCCACTTGTGTACTAAAGAAAACATATATCTTCAGTGTGATCCGACCCATTCCAAACCTGATAAACATTTATTGGATCTTCTCAAGGAATGCGAGAATCTTACAGTCACCAAGGACCACGACCCCCCTCTTTTCAACTCCACAGGTAAAATAGATATCTTGGTCCCAGGGTGGAATAAGGCAAAAGCCGAACTCACCAAGAGGAGGCTCTTGTCCCACATAATGTCTGCACAGGATAGTAACAACATTTTCCACTCTCTTCTCCAGTTGGTCCATGATATCCAAAGTAAAATCTCTACTTCTGTTTCCTCAGCATTCTCTGCCATTGACTTGATTTGCTTTCATCCACCAAACTCCGTGACAGAGAATCAGAATAGATCAGGTCTCACAAACAACCAAGTCAACGATTGAAAGAATCAGAAAACAT